TGATCTGGGCCGTCCGATCGCGCGTATGCGGATCGCCAACGTGGCCCGTCCCCGGTCGACGTGGTTTTGCCACGTGGCAGGTCCTGGTTGGCCAGGACTGCTGACTGGGTCTGCTGACGTGGCTGCTGACGTGGCGCTCCTTTTTTTTTTGCATTCTTTCCGGGCGTTACAACTCTCCCCCCCTTAAAGAAATTTAGTCCCCAAATTTGCCTCTTACTCTTGATCGAAAAGATGGGGATATTGGGCCCTAAATTCTGATTCCAGTTCCCAAGTAGCCTCCCTAGGCGTGTGGTTCTGCCACACGACCTTTACAAATGATATTTCCCGGTTGCGGAGTATTCATCTCTGATACCGACTGGTACTTCTTCATAAGACAAGTCCTCTTGGAGTGGAAGCGGTTCATGAGCCAAGACATGAGAAGGGTCCGGGTTGTACTTGCGTAGCATGGACACGTGAAACACGTTATGAACCCGGGAGAGCTCAGGAGGCAGTGCAAGTCTGTAGGCAGTGGTACCAATCTTGTCTAAGATTTCAAAGGGTCCAATATATCTGGGGTTTAATTTTCCCCTCCTGCCGAACCTACTAATCCCCTTGAAATGAGTGATCTTGAGAAACACCCGGTCGCCTTTCTCAAAAGCTAGGTCTCTCCTCCGGGTATCTGCATAACTCTTATGTCTACTCTGCGCTATCTGAATGTTCTTCTTGATTTTAACTATCTTGGACGTGGTCTCCTCTACCAACTCCGGGTCGAACAATCTTCTATCGCCCACTTCCTCCCAACAAATCGATGACTTGCACGGGCGCCCGTATAGCGCCTCATATGGGGCCATGCCGATGCTTGCTTGGTAGCTGTTGTTGTAGGCAAATTCTACCAGGGGTAGATGGTCGTCCCAATGGCCCCCGGAGTCAAGGACACAAGCTTGGAGCATATCCTCAAGCGTACGAATTGTCCTCTCTGATTGTCCATCAGTTTGGGGGTGGAAGGCAGTACTAAGAGACAGTTTTGTTCCCATAGCTTGCTGGAAACTATTCAAAAACCGAGAAGTGAATCTGGGGTCCCTGTCGGATACCACTGTCACTGGGACTCCATGCAGTCTGACTATCTCCCGGATATACATTCTTGCCAACTTGTCCAAAGAATCAGTCATTCTGATGGCCAGGAAGTGGGAAGACTTAGTGAGTCGGTCAACAATTACCCATATAGCATCATGTCTTGATCGTGCCTTGGGTAGTCCCGATACGAAGTCCATGGCGATATGTTCCCTTCCACTCTGGAATCGGTAAGGGCTGAAGTAACCCACCTGGGCGTTGATGTTCTACTTTGACCTGCTGACACACCAAGCACTTAGATATAAAGTCGGCTATATCTCTCTTCATCCCACTCCACCAGAAACGAGGCCGCATGGTTTGGTACATTTTTGTACTCCCTGGATGCATGGCAAACCTTGAACTATGGGACTCCGTCATGATGTCTCTTCTTAACTCACTGTCGTCTGGGACACACACTCTGTCCTTGAAATGAATCAATCCGTCGGCAGAGAGCTGGAATTCTGAACTCACTCCCTGTTCTGCATCCTTCTTGCGGATTACCAGGGCGGGGTCGACTGACTGGGCTTCCTTGCAAAGGTAACCCCGACACCCCATGGGGAAACACTGTGTCTAATGAAACCATTGTCTTGTAGCTCAGTGATCTGTTTTCTTAGTTCTTCCATCTCGATGCGATTCATTCGGTAAGGAGCAACCGAGATGGGCTGGGTACCTAGCTGTAAGTCTATGGTGAACTCAACCTCTTTGTCCGCGGGTAGACCGGACAGTTCATCCAGAAATACGTCTGGAAAGTGTCGGACTACCGGAATCTCTTGGATACAAATTCTTTCTTGGGTTTACCTAGTTAGAGAAAATACAAGATTAAGGCACTGGGAATTAAGACAACTTGCCATTAGGAGAAATCAGCACTGAATAATTTTATTAACTTGTAAATGGCTCCTCGTTAGGAGGATTAAATACAATCTTTTTGTTAAAGCAGTCTATGGTGGCGTGATACGCCGCTAGCCAATCCATTCCTAGGATTACATCAAAATCCCCCGTGTCTGACCCTATCAGGTCTACTCTCAGTTTTCTATCTGTTATCTCCACGGCACATGCCCTGTAGATAACCTCTCCTAGCAATATCTCCCCCCCCAGCGGTAGATACAAGCAATAATGAATCAAGTCTATCAGGTGCTACACAAATTTTGGAAGCAATAACATGTAAAACAAAAGAATGTGATGCACCAGTGTCAAACAAAACATGAGCAATGTGGCCAGAGATAGTATACATACCATGTACTACATCCGGGTCTGCGTCGGCATCCTTCTGGGTAAGGTTGTAAACTCTACCCTGGATTGGAGGCCTTCTCTGATTTTGGTTCCTAGGGCATTCCCTTGCATAGTGCTGGGCACTGCCGCATATGCAACAGGTGTTGTAGAGACGATAGCAGGATCGGTCCCCGTGATCCCTGCCGTAGTGTTGGCAGATCTTCCCACGTGCTGCCCCCGTGGCCTGAGGAGGGGCCTGGATGGCGGGTCTGGGCCTCTTACTGGATTGGACAGGCATGGTAGGTGCTGGCCTGCGGAGCGGGGCTGAGGGTCTGGAACTTCCCGCTAGCTGAGGGTGGGTGTCGAAACTCCTTTCTATGATCTGCGCCTTTGCCAGGACTGCTAAATATGTCTCGAGCTCCATTACCAGTAAGTGCTGTCTGATCTCCGGACGGAGACCCCACTGGAATTTCCTGGCCTTTCGGCCCTCATCCATCAGTGTCTCCGGGGCATGTCGGCCCAGCTCCACGAACTTACGGGCATACTCCGACACTGTCATGTTTCCCTGTACTAATTGAGCAAACTCCATTTCCTTTAGGTGTTGGATGTGTTTAGGGAGATACTCCGCGTGGAAGGCCGCTAAGAACTGCTCCCAAGTAGTTGGTGTAGGCAGGGTGGCCCGCTTGAGCTCCCACCAGCGTACTGCTTCCCCTACCAGCATGTAGGAGGCAATGGCAGCCCTCTGCTCAGGAACTACTCTCAAGGTCTCGAAAGCTCTCTCAGTCTTTGCCAGCCAGTATTGGGCCT